AGCTCTTCCTTACATTCCTTTAATACTCTGGCAAATATCTCATCGGGACCAGGTGACTTATTAGGCTTTAGTTTGTCTATTTGCTTACTAACATCGTTACTAGTCACTACTATCTCGCTTAATTTGTTTTCTTCACTATCTCTGAATAGAGTCGGTGCCCCGGTTATCATGTTTAAATTATCGGTGGTGAAAACTGTTGAAAAATATTTATTCAGATTATTGCTCATTTCTCCATCGTTATCAGTTAGCTCGCCGGTATCTGACTGTATTGGCCAACTCTTTTCTCGTGTTTTAGTTTGATACATTTGATAGAATCCCTTGGGGTTTGTCTTCGCCTCCTTTGCTATCCTCAGCTCATTATTCCTCTTTGCTTTCCTTATCTTGGTCTTAACCCTACCGGCCAATATCTTGTAATAATCCCGGAGGTAAATTTCGCCACGATTTATCCTCCTACCTATAGCCTTCCTTTGATCAATAATGTTCTTTAAGTAATTATTTATCCATTTAGCGTCATCGTTGTTTGATGTGAGTCTTTTGTATGGTATGTTCTGCCTTTGTACACTGTCCCTCTTTCATTACCACTGTCCCTCTTTCATTACCACTGTCCCTCCTCCATTACCACTGCCCTTCCTTCATTACCACTGGCCCCTACATCATCAGTTCGTCCCCAGACTTTTTCAGTGTTTCTCCTCCAGTGAGAGAGTAGAAACTATGCAAAATATTTGTTTATTTTCACACTATCTTGAGCTCTCCATTCCCTATGATTTCCCCAAGGAGGCGATACCCTTCTCTTGTAAGGGGGTGGACAGACCTGATTTAAATACCTGAGAATCCTTGAGGAAAGAAAGGTTTGTGTTTTAACAGTTGAGGTGCTGTGAGGTGCTGTGAGGTGCTGTGAGGTGAGTGTTTGTTTATATCTGTGGTGATAGATACCTTGAGTATGAGGAACTGAGGATACATCATCTTGATCTCAATGAAGGAACACACACACACACACACACACACACACACACACACACACACACACACACACACACACACACACACACACACACACACACACACACACACACACACACACACACACACACACACACACACACACACACACACACACACACACACACACACACACACACACACACACACACACACACACACACACACACACACACACACACACACACACACACACACACACACACACACACACACACACACACACACACACACACACACACACACACACACACACACACACACACACACACACACACACACACACACACACACACACACACACACACACACACACACACACACACACACACACACACACACACACACACACACACACACACACACACGCGCGCGCGCGAGACCAATGTAGTATACCTAACGTAGACAACAAACATAGCGCAGCGTCCTAACTTCACCAACTCTCTCCTTTCACACAATAACACGGAGACCCCTGAATGGCAACCTGCCATCTGCCACACGTTGCCACCGACACTTGGAGGGAGGGAAGGTTGAATGGATGGACCCGCATACTCCTGGTGAGAGAGAGAGAGAGAGAGAGAGAGAGCAGTTGGGTGGGTGAACTATACCAGTCACGTAACAAGCAGTAGTTTCGGTAAAAACGATGTTTGTACTTCCATTGTATACTCGTATATTTTTACACGTATATGTTGTGTATTATGTATGATGTCTGCTGTCTATTATGTATGATGCATGTTATGTATGGTGTATGATGTGTATGTTGTGTATGGTGTGTGATGTGTATAGTGTATGATGAGTATGGTGTACAGTATGTTGTGTATGAGGCTTGTTAATAATGACAGAATTTTTTCATAAGTCTGAACTGTATCTATTGTTTCTCGGTCACCTTGTGGGGTGTGTGTGCAGTGTGCTGTATCTGCACCGCCTGAACAAAGGGGCTCACTTAATCCAGGAGATATATTTCACCAGTTATAAATATTTCTTCGTGATTCACTATTATAATAGTCTTCAAAGCACAAACAGTTTAGAGATTGTGTCATGATTTGAAATATTTTGTTTACCCCGTCAACATAAAGTGACGCTTTTAAGTCGCGTTGAGAAGGTGGCTGGAGGCGCTCAGTGTTCAGAGGTGGAAGAGTCAGAGGCACAGTGTTGACAGCGCGGTGCAGGGGGTGAGTGACCGCCTCCAAAGCAATATATGTATAATATTTTCACGAGGATATTCACGCGTCAGAACACTCTCTTGGGGGGTACAAACGCCCTTGTTGACACGGCTGCCAATATCATACAATAAATTCCAGAAAATATTTGAAAATCCATTGAACAAATAAATTGCCGATTTCATTTTATATGTAAAAGACACAAACCTATTTATTACTGTTCGTATGAAAGCTTTTCCCTGACTGATTGACTGATCCTTTGAAGCCAATTTCCCTCCTCTCCTCTCCTCACCTACACGGTGCCACCAGACGTACGATCACACGCGATAAACACAACCGCGAACACCTCTACTGTACCTCTTGGTTGATCCTATATTAAATGTTTAAATATACCATCTCAACTCAACACCTCCAGGCATAAACTTCACACAGTTCCTTGCTATAGTTCCCAGCTAAGTTCAACACAAAAGAGGTGAACATCCCAAGAGAAATCTCCCTTTGAATTTAGTAGTCAATGTGGATATAAAAGCAGCAACACTTACTCCGTATGATACATAACCCGATAAGAAAGGTAAGAAAATAACAGTATGCGGCCATTGCCAACACCATATATCAAGTAGATTTATTTCCTTACTCAAACACAGACACAATTCTGGGTCATCAATATCAGTTAGATTTACTAAGATGTGTGTTTACACCTCCGGGTTGTTTATGGGTCACTCGGCCACCCCCATATATCTTCTCTCTCGAATTTGTTATTGAAATATTGGTCTTCACGCATATTAACTCAAGTAATACGTATTCTCGCCTGCGACTCCTCACGTGTTTTTATTATCCTTAGTGTAGATGTGTGCAGTTGGTAAATACTCGTTGATAGATATAATTAGTTTCTTTTAGATGAAATAAGATAGGGTCGCCGGATGATATAAATAAGAGTACCTGGATGACTTAAAGGTTAGGTAACTGGATGACATAGTTGCTGGATGACACATAAATTATCTTTCTAGGTCCGTTGATAGATGACTGGCTGTAACTCCTCACCAATGGGAAAAAAGGAAGCCTGTGATTGGGTGGTACCTATATACCACTCGTCCAATAGTCATGAAGAAGACCTCATTAATTACCAATTGAATGTTATTATCTAAAATATAATCTATTATGAAACTTCGTCGTCTATGGAGGTTTCAAACACTAATTAATGAAGTGCTATAAATAAAACAGGGTGACAGGTACATTAATATTCAGGTGACTCACTTAAATGATCAATTTTAATTCATCAGTAGAGGGAAATTTAATTATATATATAGGATGTAATGACGAATACTAATATAATTTCTCTACCTGTATACCTGTACCTGAATTTATACCTGTAGCTGTACCTGTAGCAGTATTAAGGTAACACTAAATGACTTAGATAAAAAGGCAGGTTTTTTCCAGAACTGTGAAAATCCAGATGCTCATCAATTTATTAATCAATTTTTACATCACAACATTTTACCTTTTATTATGACCATCATCAACAGCTTAATATACTTATCATAGATGTTTGTTTGTTTTGGTAAATGGTTGTAGTTGACAATGAAATGACTAAAATACGAGTATATGTTTGTGAAAATTATATGACATTATTTACTTGATTTTATTTGAAATAGGGTGAAATAATTAATGTAATGTATGCCTATTATTACACACACACACACACACACACACACACACACACACAAACGTATATGCTTTTCCCATGGATTCGTGAATTTATATATGCCTTATATATACTGGTATGGATTGAAATAGGGCAAACAATTAACAATATACCAATTAATAGACACATAACTACGAAAAAAATTATCTATGCGTGTAATAAATTGGATCCTTCTATTTATTTCCCCATTTTAATTCAAATAAGACTACCCATTAAACGGAGTATGTATCACTCAATGTTAACACGTAAAGAATATAGGCGTTATGTTATTTTTGTGGGTATTATTTTTGTCCTTGATATGACGCCTTTAGAACTGAGGTAGATTCAATATAAACTACTCATGACAGGAGAGAGAGAGAGAGAGAGAGAGAGAGAGAGAGAGAGAGAGAGAGAGAGAGAGAGAGAGAGAGAGAGACCTGCCATAGCATACTTATCTTAATATCAATCTACCATCTACCTAAAATAACACCTTTTTCACCCTCCCTCCCTTAATTATATTCTTCATAAGTCGTGGATTAATACTCCTGTCATGGCGTGTATTCCTCGCCGTGATTCGAGTAATAATTACAAGGTAATGAACCGTACCTTATAACATCCAGGTGTAATACATATTGTAATGTTATGGTGACACGCGTCTGGGCGGCTCATGACTGTACTCTCCTCACCTGACATAACCTGAATAATTATACCTTCATGGTTCACACATTATAAAGGTATGTACTGTTCGTTCCTTTCCTGGGGTCAGTACAACTTGGAACGGCACCTAACCTTTTGTGTCACCTAACCTAAACTAAACTAAACTAAACTAACCTAACCTAACCTAACCTAGCCTAGCCTAGCCTAGCCTAACCTAACCTAGCCTAGCCTAACCTAACCTAGCCTAACCTAACCTAGCCTAACCTAACCTAGCCTAACCTAACTTAGACCTAACATAAACTAACCTAAACTAACCAAAGATACAAATAATATCTAAGTAAATTTTGTTCATCTTTTCCTTGTAAATATGTTAATGCTAACCGCTATTCTCATCAAGTTAGATATGTTTATTCTCATTGTTTCGCTGTTGAGAAATTGTTGGCAAATTCTTAAAAAAAAATCAATTTTACCAACAATTTTCATATTTTTTTTGCACCAAATAATCACACGGGGCTGTCTTTTGCAATACTTCCTTCGTGGTTGCCTTCTGCAATACTTCCTTCGGGGTTGCCTTCTGCAATACTTCCTTCGGGGCTGCCTTCTGCAATACTTCCTTCGGGGCTGCCTTCTGCAATACTTCCTTTGGAGCTGTCTTTGCAATACTTCCTTCGTGGTTGCCTTCTGCAATACTTCCTTCGGAGCTGTCTTTGCAATACTTCCTTCGGAGCTGTCTTTGCAATACTTCCTTCGTGGTTGCCTTCTGCAATACTTCCTTCGGGGTTGCCTTCTGCAATACTTCCTTCGGGGTTGCCTTTTGCAATACTTCCTTCGGGGCTGCCTTCTGCAATACTTCCTTCGGGGCTGCCTTCTTCAATACTTCCTTCGGGGCTGCCTTCTGCAATACTTCCTTCGGGGCTGCCTTCTGCAATATTTCCTTCGGGGCTGCCTTCTGCAATACTTCCTTCGGGGCTGCCTTCTGCAATACTTCCTTCGGGGTTGCCTTCTGCAATACTTCCTTCGGGGCTGCCTTATGCAATACTTCCTTCGGGGTTGCCTTCTGCAATACTTCCTTCCTTCACTACCATTTAGAGACACGAAGGAGCCAGCGATACTGCTTTACTCGGAAGCTTTATAAACGGGGAAGAAATACCACACCACGCTATAAGATACTGTTGAAACCTTGTACAACATCAAAGGAATGTTAATGTGGTTATCCTCCCTTCTTCCATGCCTGCTCTCTCCTTTCTCTTCCTTCCTGTTTCTTCCTATCCACTCCTCCTCACCCTCCTCCCTCCTGTTCCTTCTCGCTGCTTCTTCTTTCTCTCCCCTGCTTCCTCCTCCTCCTCATCCCTGTTTCCTCTTCCTCAATCTTTCTTTCTCCTCCTGTTTCCTCTTCCTTCTCGCTTCTTCCTATTTCACCTCCCTACTTCCTCTTCCTCCTCGTCCTTGCCTCCTCCTCCTCCTCCCTGCAGCTTACTCTTAACCCTCGCTGCTTCCTCTTCCTCCTCCTCTTCACCTCCTCCTCTTCCTCCCTGCTTCTTCCTATCCACTCCTTCTCCTCCCTTTTGCTTCCTCCTCCTCCCTTCGGGTTTTCCTCTACTGCCACACTCAATACTTTATCATTGAAAATCCAACAAAATATTGGATTAACCGCGGGATTTATTACGTGCGAGGCCACCAGGATTATCTAAGTGATCAGTGACTGTTTCCGTCTCTAACTCACCTAATAATATTTGTTTCTATGTCTGTCTGGGCGGGTGTGTGGTGGTGGTGGTGGTGGGCGGGTGTGTGGTGGTGGGCGGATGTGTGGTGGTGGGGCGGATGTGTGGTGGTGGGCGGATGTGTGGTGGTGGGCGGGTGTGTGGTGGTGGTGGTAGGCAGGGTGTGTGGTGGTGGTAGGCAGGTGGTGTGGTGGTGGGCAGGTGTGTGGTGGTGTTGGTAGGCGGGTGTGGTGGTGGATGGTGCGGTGGTGGTGTGGTGGGTGTGTGTGTGGTGGTGGGCAGGTGTGTAGTGGTGGTGGTGGACGGGGTGTGGTGGTGGTGGTGGTGGTGTGTGGTGGTGTGGTGTGTGGTGGTAGGTGGTGTGTGTGGTAGGTGGTGGTGGTGGTGGGCGGGTGTGTGGTGGTGGTGGTAGGCGGGTGTGTGGTGGTGGTAGGCAGGTGTGTGGTGGTGGTAGGCGGGTGTGTGGTAGGTGGGTGGTGTGTGTGGTGGTGTGGTGGTGTGTGGTGGGTGGTGGGTGTGTGGGTGTGGTGTGGTGGGTGTGTGGTGGGTGTGGTGGTGGTGTGTGGTGGTGTGTGGTGTGGTGGGTGTGTGGGTGGTGTGGTGGGTGTGTGTGGTGGTGGGTGTGGTGTGTGTGGTGGTGTGTGGTGGTGGTGGTGGTGGTGTGTGGGTGGTGGTGGTGGTGGTGTGTGGTGGTGGGGGTGTGGTGGTGGTGGTGGAAGGCGGGGTGTGTGGTGGTGGTGTGGTAGGCGTGGTGGTAGGGGGTGTGTGGTGGTAGGCGGGTGTGGTGGTGGTGGTGGGTGTGTGGTGGTGGTGTGGTAGTGGGTGTGTGGTGTGGTGGTGGTAGGCGGTGTGGTGTGGTGTGGTGGTAGGGTGGTGGTGGTGGTAGTGTGTGGTGTGTGTGGTGGTGGGGTGGGTGTGTGGTGGTGGTGATAGGTGGGTGTGTGTGGTGGTGGTAGGCAGTGTGGTGGTAGGCGGGTGTGGTGGTGGTGAGTGTGTGTGATGGTAGGTGGTGGTGGGGGGGTGTGTGGTGGTGGTGATGGTGTGGTGTGGTGGTGGTGATGGTGGTGGTGGTGTGGTGGTGGTGGGGTGGTGGGTGTGGTGGGGTGTGGTGGTGGTGGTGGTGTGTGGTGGTGGTGGTGGGCGGGTGTGTGGTGGTGGTGGTGGTGGTGGTGGTGTGTGGTGGTGGTGGTGATAGGCGGGTGTGTGGTGGTGGTGGTAGGCGGGTGTGTGGTGGTGGGTAGGTGTGTGTGTGGTGGTGGTGGTGTGTGTGGTGGTGGTAGGCGGGTGTGTGTGGTGGTGGTGGTGTGGTGGTGGTGTGTGGTGGTGGTAGGCGGGTGTGTGGTGGTGGTGGGGCAGGTGTGTGGTGGTGGTGGTGGGCAGGGGCGAGGTTCTATAACTCTGAAGGACATGCCTTCTTCCTGTAGTGAGACAACTATAGGAGCTGCCTCACCCCGCCACCATCACCAGCACCACCATCACCACATCCATTACTATCACTCTTCATTCACCACCACTACCACTACCAACAGCACCACCATCACCACAACCATCACTATCACTCTTCATTCACCACCACTACCACTACCACCACCATCACCATCACCACATCCATCACTATCACTCTTCATTCACCACCACTACCACTACCAACAGCACCACCATCACCACAACCATCACTATCACTCTTCACCACCACTACCACCTGCCACCACTTTATCACTATCACTCTTCATTCACTCACCACTACTAATTACCACCACCATCACCATATCACCACATCCATCACTATCACTTCATTCACCACCACTACCACTACCAACAGCATCACCATCACCACAACCATCACTATCACTCTTCATTCACCACCACTACCACTACCAACAGCATTCACCACATCACCACAACCATCATTATCACTCTTCATTCACCACCACTAACACTACCACACCACCACCATCACCATCACTATCACTCTTCATTCACCACCACTACCATCACCACCACCACCACCATCACCATCACTATCACTCTTCATTCACCACCACTACCACCACCATCACTATCACTCTTCATTTACCACCACTACCACTACCACCACCATCACCACAACCATCACTATCACTCTTCATTCACCACCACTACCACGACCATCACCATCACCACCACCACACCATCACCACACCACACAATTTATTCGTCATCGATCAGTCATTTAAAAAAAAAATGTCCATCTTGTATAAAGTTTTCACAGTTAAATTATAACAGACTAAAGTCGTGATATGTATAACAAACACTACAAAGACAAGGGTACTAATAACTGCGTCAGGCGATGAAGCAACAGCAGGTGAGATAACGCAATATTGCTTCAGCAGGTGTGAGGCGTGACACTCTTATTACCTGTGTACTGTCCCTCCAGAAAGACAAAACAAATGACTTCGTTTAAGTTCCTTCGTTTTTTTTATATGTTACAATTTGAGTTTATAACGTAATTTGTATCGTAAGATTTCGCTACATAAATTCCTGGATGATGTAGAAGAGATGTAGCGTTCGTTATAATGTTGTCTTTCTGGTCGTTGGGGTGCGGTGGTAAAGCGGATATATCTCTCGTTTCTTGCCCTAATAGTTGCTGGTTCGCTACCTGAAGTCTACCCAGCCGTACAGTAAATAGGTGTCTAAGCAAGTGAAAGCGGTAGAGTGTAGGGCCGGTATTACTGTCTTCTTTTACACCAAGTTAGAGGGAAGTGACGCACATTAGAGCCTCATACAATGTTTAAGTTCAAAGTTGTGTCATTATGAAGTTTGTGTGTGTGTGTTTGTGTGTGTGTGTGTGTGTGTGTGTGTGTTTCGTGAGTGAGTGAACTTTTTGTTTTATAGTTTCTTTGTTAGTGTTGTAGATAGTGTTGTTGGACGCTATGTTTTATCAGCGACTCAGTAAAAGTTGCTGGTAATGTTTATGTTTATGTCTCAGCTATTATCAGACTCCTTTGTTTGAGTTTGTATTGTTGACCCGGAAGATGGTGTTGACCTAAGTGCTAATTACAACAAGACTGACTTTGTTTTTCTTACCAGTTTCCACCGACAAACTCATTACATGGAGACTTATTTATGCACTGTGGCGTAAACTTAAAGTTGCTTGACGAACAACACCAACATTCAGCGCTCCATCTCCTCCCACCTTCTACCCCCACGGCGAGGATGGTGTCTTGGACAACATGAACTTTCTTGAAGTAAGCACACACACACACTATGACAAAACATACAGCTATTCTCTCCAAATAGTTTTTTCTTCAGTTCTTGGAGTGATGTGAAATAGGGTGGTGGACGGCGACCTGATAAAACAGGATTTGTGTACGATCCCTTGAAGCGCTGATGGGTTTTGGGGCACAGGTGGATAAGGAATAAGGTGACAGTGAGGGGTGGTAGAGGTAGGAGAGGAGGGAGAGGGAGAGGGAGAAAAGAAGGTGGAGGAAGAAGAGAAAAAGGAGGAAGAGGAGGAGCAAGAGGAAGGATGTTATGTACCAAGATGGATAGAAATATGAAGATATATACACAGCAAGCGAATGAATCCGGAATATAAATGACCTATTCAAGAGTATCATTATAGGCTTAAGGGATTATTACGTACCTACGAGCTTTATGAATCTATTATGTACACATGAGGCTTCTGGGACTATTACGTTAGAGAAGATATATAACTTTCAAGCAATTACAGCGGTACATACATAGCTGCAGGGAGTAAACAAATTAGATAAACAATAATAGGCCTGTTGTCCTTGTTTGAAGTTAAGTGTTACTGGCTAGAGAGAGAGTTAGGACCAATCAGCCACTCTGTGATCACTTGGTAAATCCTGAATCATCTCTTTCACGTACAATAAATCGTACAATTAATCCACCTCTTCTTTTTTCATGGGATTTTTCGTAGGGGTGAGTTGAGTGTAGCAGAAGAGCTGAGTACCTGATGTTGTCTTGTCACCCAAAAGGTTTGAAAAGTGATAATCATTGTGTAGTTGGTTCTTACGTCTTTAAGTGGAAATCAGGTTCATGGTCGCTCAGGAACCAGTTATAGGAGAGAGAAGTGGCCACTCAGGAACCAGAAGGAGAATGGAGGTATGGCCACTCAGGTATCAGATGTAGGAGGGAGGTATGGCCACTCAGGTACCAGATGTAGGAGGGAGGTATGGCCACTAAGAGACCAGAAGGAGGAGGCAGATATGGCCACTCAGAGACTAGAAGGAGGAGGGAGATATGGCCACTGAGGAGCCAGGAGGGAGGTATGGCCACTCAGAGACCAGAAGGAGGAGG